ATATATATATATAGATTTCGGGCTCTTGGGCCGTCTCGGGGCTCTCTTCGAGCCTCTTTGGGACTTTTTGGGGGCCTCTTGGGGCCTCTTGTTGGCCTTTGGGGCCCCCTGGGGGGCTTCCTGGGGGGCTCGTGGGGCCTCTTGGGGGTATCTTTGGAGCCTTTTGGGCTTCCTGGGGGCCTCTGGGGATTGGGAGCCTCTTGGGAGCCTCTTGGGGGCTCGATGTTTCAATTCTCGTTCCCTCTCTTTGGCCTCCTTTTGGGGCCTTCCTGGGACCCTCTTGCGCTGTCTTGAGCGGCTCTGGGGCCGTCTCGGGGCTCTCTTGGGCCGTCTTGGGGCCCTTTTGGGGCCCTCTTGGGGGCCTCTTCGGCCGTCTTGGAGCGGTTTTGGGAGCCTCTTGCAAGAGGCGCCCATGGGCGGTGCTTGAGCGCCGGAAACGCGAAATAGCGAGAATGCAAAAACATTAACAAACAACCAATGGAAATCAACGATTTTGCAATCTCGGGGCGCTCTTGGGCGGCATCTTGAAAGGCCTCTTGGGGCGTCTCGGGGGCCTCCAGGCAGTTTAAAAAGCATCATGCGTCGCCAGAGACCCCTTGACGGCGTCTTGGGGTTGTCTCGAGACCGTCTGGGGCCGCTGGGATTGCTGTCTTAGGGCTCCCTGGGGCGATTTTAAGCTTCCCAAAAGGCGGGCCCGGGCCCCGGTGTCCACATTTGTGGTCGAGGTTCCGGCCCTCGGCCCCCAGGCCCGGGGCGCCGTTACATGTATACTTTTGGCGCTCCGCGCGGACTTCTTGTATCTGCGCTGGACCCCCATCTTGGCGCGCGGAGCGCGCCAAGGGCGCCGGAGGCGCCGCCAGGGGGGCCCCCAGCGCGGAGACAAGAAATTCGCGCGGAGCGCGAATCTCTTGTATCCGCGCACATTCGTCTTAAACATGTGGAAGAACTTCACGGATTGAAGGCGGATGGTTTTCAAAATGTGGCTCTCGCCTTAGAGCCGCGCACATTCGCTTTTCAGCATTTTCAAGAGCTTCACGGATTGAGGGCGAGGGGTTTTCAAAATGTGGTTCTCGCCTTAGCACCGCGCACATCCGTTTGAAACACGTGAAAAAACTTCACGGATTGAGGGCGGGTCATTTTCAAAATGTGGCTCTCGCGTTAGCGCCGCGCACATGCCTTTTAAACATTTGCAAGAGCTTCACGGATTGAGGGCGGTTATTTTCAACATGTGGCTCTCGCCTTAGCGCCGCGCACATTCTCTTTAAACATGTGCAAGAGCTTCACGGATTGAGGGCGGTTCCTTTTCAAAACGTGGTTCTCGCCTTAGCGCCGCGCACATTCGTTTTAAACAATTGCAAGAGCTTCACGGATTCCCATGATCAACGTACCAGAAACAGGATTATGTGGGTGCAACAGTTATGTTGATTCGCGGTGCTGAAATCCAAACACAAGCGCTCTGGCACGATTCCGGATCGTCAGAACGCAGCAGTCTGGTTTATACGTGGCGTTGAAAACCCGAGAACAATGTTTTGGCATGCTTCAGGATCTTCAAACGGTTGTCTTCCAACGAGGCAGTTCCCTCAATGGAAATGAACCGATGTGGGGGCCTATGAAGAGGGAACTTGGAGGGAGGGCCAATTCCAACATAGTTGATGATCCTTGGGTTTACACTGGTCCTCCTCCTCCTCCTCCTCCTCCGCCTCCTATTCCTGCTCCCTCCCCCACTGCCCTTTCTCTGCGCGCGGCTGGCCCTCCTTCCTGTACAAGCGCGCACCACCACTACTCGCAACAAGTCGCTGCTGCTCGCAGAGGGCCCTGATCCGCCGCGGGGGATGTACGATCCACTACGTCGAGGCCCCCATGTGTGTTTTAGGATGTTTGCAATGCACGGCCCCGCCCCCCTCGGTCTGCCGCTCCACCTGGCATCGATGCTGCTGATCGCCACGCCTCGAGTCATCTCGGGCCCTCAAGCTCTTCCGTGCATCCCGCCCTCTGCCTCCTCCCCCATCCCACGCAGACACCGTCCCCGTGCTCATCCTCCCTGCCTCCCTTTGCCATCGCTCGGCCGTCCATTTCACGTGCATGTTTCGATGTCGTGCGTGTTGTTTGTTGCTCGGTGATCCTAGATGTTTTGAGTGGGGCTGGGGGGTCAGGTCTGAAGGGCATCCCAAACGGACTTCGAGGGGCGCAACCACCCTGTTCACTCAAGCTGAACTTGATTCACCACACCCACCGTCAAGCCAAAACGTTGGATATAAACGAACGGTTGGACGCTGCACATCTTCACCGGCTTGACTGGTCAGGCGTTGAACCACCTTGACGTCCCATTCTTGGTGGTCCTGCAGAGGAAGCGGCTCTCTGACCCCCGGCCCTGCTCGAAAGATGCTCCTCGATGGTCCTCGCCGAGAGAAACTGCACACGCCCGAGCGATGGCAGGTCCCTCCACTGCCGCCGACCGCCGACGAAGGGCGCGCAGGGTGCCCCGGGCTGGGCGCGGGGCTAGCAGAGGAACTGCTGCTCGGGCGTGTCGTCGAGCTTCGTGCACCAGTAGCCTGCCGCGTGCCCCCATGCCGAATTCTGGGAGCTCTTGGCCCTCAGACCGTACACGTCTAAACAAGGAAGGAGAACGATGCACACACACCGGCTCTGGCCCGGCCCATCCTGAGGCAAGGATCGCTGAGCACGCTCCCCTGCGCTGGCCGGGAAGGCATGCGCACCGATCCTGGGCCCAGGATGGGCTGGCCAGAATCGGTGCGCGTGCCAAAACATGTTCGCCCGATTCTAACCAACACATGCGACGACCGGATGTTTTTCAATGCGCGGCCCCTGGCGAAACCCCGACCCTTTCCCGGGGGCCCGCTTTCCTCCTGAGTCGTTCTGCGGCCACGAAGCCTGGCGAGGGCCCCCCGACGCCGAAAATAGTCAAAAAATCTCCCGTCCTGAACTGTTTACAACGCAATCGTGCCTGGGACGGTGCCCGAAGCCTCCACAAAGGCCCGGGACCTCTCGGGGGCCCCAGGCGACCACCGGCGACCCCCAGGCTGTCGTCCTCCTGCCCCCCTCCTCGTCTGCTGTCAGTTTGAAGGGGGCTGGAAGGCCCAGCCAACAGCTTCGCCTCAGGAGAAGCCAAGCTCCAACCCTGTTGTACCGTAGCAACGGTAGTCCCAGTATGAGAGGAGATGCCATCTCAAGCAGTCTGATGATCCTTTTGGTCTCGATAGCAATTGTGTGCCTCGCAATGAGGCGCAGTCATATTTGGGCGGCCGGCCGCTTGAGCCGACGCGGCCGCGGGCGCACGCTCGCTTCCACTCCTTACGTTTCTCAGCTCGCTTTAGAGTCGGGGGGGAGGGAAACGAGCGTGAGCCCGTCGCCCCTATACAGCAGGCATAGCAGCCAACATACAACGACAGAAAAGGAAACGGGCCTAAAGGAAGGTGGACCCGCTAGCAAGTTGCCTCGCATCTATGTGACGCACTCATCCGGCGGCGTCAAAACTTGATGCCTGGAGGCCCGATATGGAGTATGTCTCTTCGCGTCATGTTTGAAGGTCGGTATACCTCCCATGACTTGTAGGAGCATATCTCTGTCGATGCGCCCCTTGGTGTGGCCATCCGCAGTCATTTCGCGGGTATCACACCTGTGAATGCTGTGCACGGTTCCACGCTCCATCATCTGTCGCATCCAACTGATATGCCTTCAAAAGGTACACTCAGTCGGCTTCTTCAAGTCTTTGCTTCGCAAGGATTCCAAAACAGACTCAGCATCGGTGGCCAAAGTGATCTTGATGCTCAGGCCACCCAACTCAAGTATATATTTCAACCGAGCGGGCGTGAGCGGCCCCGCGCGGAGCTCGCGCAAAGTCCCAGTCGTGGGATAACAGCCCTCCAAATTATGGGGTGCTGCTAGTGTCTCTGCTGAAAAACTCGAGCGGACCTGCGAGCGGCGAGACTTGCAGCGCGCATCAATCAAGCGAACGACAGGCTTACCACATGACGTGTTTCCACGTCGTAGCAAGTTTGCCCCGCGAATACCATAGCCTTTGACGTCGTCACCAGCGTCTCCGCTCAAGCGTCGATATCCTGAGTCGCTGTGTAGGTCGACCTCGCCCGTGGGGTTCATCGCCTGGTAGGCGATCTTCTTCGGGCAGGCGTGTAGCTTTCTGGTGATCGCGTTCAGTCGCCGTACTTGAACGTTGGTCGGTTCTTAGACACGTCGTAGAGATACAACATGCACCATCAACCACACTTGGGTGATCCGTGCGCATGCGAGCGCACCCCTGAGGCCATCGAACATGTCTGCCACCATCTTGGTTGCCTGAGCGTCAGCGTCGGCGCCAGCTAGTTCGGGATGTTGAATAGGACGGAGCTGATTGATATATTTATATGGATCCAACGTGACATTGCCGTCCTCGTCCTTGGTGTATCTCACGGCACAGCTGGTAGATGTGTGCTTGTTGAGTCTACACTTGCCAAAGGTATCTTCGACGCATTTGACAGACTTGTCAATGGTGTCCTCAGTACCGGCCAGATTAATGTCATCAACATGCTTGGCCGTGGGCAGGTTGTTGCTCGTCTCGAACTCATCGTCGTAGGACGTGGGTCGGAGACCAAATCCTCTGGTGGTCCTCCTGAGCTCAAGTGAGAAAACCCCTGGAGCGTCTTTCGTTCCTGTGCCTGGTTTCAAGCACTGTAGGCAGTGCTTTGACTCGTCGTAGTGCTCGAATCCTGGGAGAGCCCCGAGCGCGGTGGCCGATCCAGGCGGCAAAATTAAACGCACCACGCGTTCCTTTGCACCAGTAGCCTCAGCGAGTTCCTGAAAGGTCAATCCCTTCATGAAGACCATGTTGATGTCGAGGGGTGCAATGGTCCACTGCTTCTTGCACGCTGCCGTGCTAGCGGGTAACCTCTGGCTGGAACGCCCCGCCGTCCCCGAAAATGCTTCTACGTCGAAAGCTTCGAGGTCCATGAAACCTCGGAGGACCAAGCGAAGTCGGATGGTACGTTCCATCTCGCCCTTCTCGTTCTTCACGAACTTCCATTTGCGCACGCATCTCGAAGTCATGATGTTCGACGCTTTGGTTATCTCCTGCACCTTAAAGCAGTTGTTGTCGATCCATGTCTTGAATTCAGCGCAGAGGGCCTTCGATACTTTATCGGGATTCGCCTGAATACCAGCTGCAGTGAGGAGGTCGTCTTCCTTGACGACCGCAGCTCGCTTTGCAGCGTCGGCAACGTATACTCGCACAGTGGTCACCCGGTCGGCAGCTAAGATCATGCGTCGTTGCTCGGACAAGATTACCTTCGACATTTCTGCCGTAAAGCATAGTTCGACATACCGACCATGTTCGTCTGAGTCGAGTCCGTAGCTGTCGTTTTCGACCATGGTGCACATGGGGGCGTAGTACGTCTCCTTGGTATCGGAGTCGCGAGTGCGCCCCCACTTCGGCAGGTGTCCCCGCTGTTCATCAGCTACAGTGATCAGGGCACTTTAATCTGGAACCACCTGTGTAGGTATGGCGAAGAGGTCCTCTGGTGGAGTTGCTTCCAACAGTTCCCTTTCCTCTTGTAGTTCTGCATATCACACCTCCATAACATGCGCCTCAATATCAGCCTAAATCGTAGAGAGCCGTCCGTCATCATGTGATGATTCGGCTTCTGAAGCTTCTCTTGCGGTTCCATCCGGTGTCGGTGTATCTGCCAATTCCTCAAATCCTCACAGGTCCTGATCAAAACTTGCTTGAGGTTTAGAAGACTTCAGGCATTGGATGATTCGTGAATGCGCTGATCCATTTATATCATGTATTTTCAGAGCAGTACCTTCTGCCTCGTAATAATGAAATCCTGGATTCACGTCGTTGTCGTAATGGATCAATGTGCAGCTGCCGGCATAAGTAACGAGAGGTAGCTTATGGATACTCCTGGCGAATCTAACCGAAACTACATTCTCAATGCGAAAGAGGTTTCTGATAAGGTGCTGTCGAGCCAAGTGTACCTTAAGAGATACACGGCTTGCGGTCGTCATCTGAAGCGTCCCTTTTTTGGTCGGCACATATTCAAAGGTCAAAGCAGGTCTCCCCGCTGATAGGCTGGCTACGGATGTTAACGCTGTGCGTAGTGGGGTGCTGTCGGAGCCAATCTCTCGGGCTATGAGCGCTTCAGTGTATAACCGATGCCTTGCATCGCCGTATTGTGCTTGAACATATCGGTTGCCCACTCTGGTGATGACCTGACCCCTTTTCGGGAGCATTCTTGACAACCGGGAACCGACCATTCCAGCCTCCCCAGTCATCCTTCGTGGTCGTACGGCGATGGTAATCGACCAAGTCTCCTTCATCATAATAGTGCTGACCGGTAATAGTCGTCTTAGTGCGTAAGGCACGATTGGTCTTAGCTACTGCTGTGGCCTGTGTAATAGCTTCACTACATACCCTGCGTATCGTCTGTTCACGAGAGTGATCCGATGTTTCTGTCGGCTGCTTGTGGTCCAGGACAGGTCGGTCAGGGAGCATTGCTGGCTGCCGACCAAAAAGAGCGTTGTATGGAGTCACCCCGCTATGGAAGGTGAACGCGTTGGCGGCGAGCAGGGCCATCTCGGGGCGTTTGAGGCTTTTTTTTATCTGTCCGAGACTCCTCGAGGCTACCTTGGGGTTCGGACAAGCTCACTGCTCTTTCTTCTCTGCCCCTGCCCCCTTGATCTCTCTTCCCCCTCCCTCCTCCTGCCTCCCTCCTCTCTCCTCTCTCTTCCCCCTCCTGCCCCTCGCCTCCACCCGCTCTCTCCGGCTCCGCCACCGCTCCTTCCACTTCCTTCTGTAGTCTCCCCGCCCCTGCCTCCCTCCGCTTCGTTATCATCCTCCTCCTCCTCTGCCTCGTCCTCCACGTCCGATCCTTCGCATCAATCCTCAATGGATCCTCCATCCAGGCCTTCTCTCCTTCCCTCCTCTCGCCTCCGCTCGCCCACTTCCCTCCCTCCGCCACCCTCGTCCATCTGGCATCCTCCGCCCTGCTCCCTCCCTGTCTGCATCCTCCCTCCTCCCCTCCTGCTGGCCCGTCTCTTTGGGCACGGGGAACAGTCCTGGTGGAGAGGGGCTCTGGTCCCCAGGCCTTTTTTCCAAGACGTGCCCTTCATCCCGAGCAGCTTTCTGAGAGCCGCGGGGCCTTTGCAAGGGCCCTCCGGGCCCGCAAAGAAAGGAAAGAGAGGAGAGCACATAAAAGGAGGAGGCGCGGATAAGGAGAATGGGCAGCAGCAGGGGGACGCAGAAAAAAGGCACAAGGAGGAGATGCAGGAGAGGCGGAGAACGGCGAAAACTCAAGAGAAGAAAAAGGAGGAAGAGGAGGAGATCACGAAAGACGAGCAGGAGCCATCGGCCATAATTGTAGAAGTGCGAGGAAGAGAAAATGCATGCCCGCATCCACCACTCGTGCTTCTTTTCGTCGCCATCGTCGTCGTCGTCGTCCTCCTCCTCCTTCTCCTCATCATCCGTCCTCCATCCTCCCTGCTCCCTCCTCTTCGTCCTGGTCCTCCTCCTCCCCTTTCTCTTCCTCCAACTCCTCCTCCCCCTTTATCCCCCTCCCCCTCCTCCTCCTCCTCCTTCTCCTCCTTCTCCTCCTCCTCCTCCTCCTCCTCCTCCTCCTTGTCTCCCCCTCCCCCTCCCCCTCCCCCTCCCCCTCCCCCTCCCCCTCCCCCTCCCCCCTCCCCCCCCCCCCTCCTCCTCCTCCTCCTCCTCTCCTCCTCCTCCTCCACCACATCCTCCTCCTCCTCCTCCTCCTCCACTCTCCTCCTCCTCCTCCTCCTCCTCCTCCTCCTCCTCCTCCTCCTCCCCCGCTGGAGCAGAGGAGGAAGAGGATAAGGAATAGAGAAGAGGAGGAGAAGGAAGCAGGAGGAGTAATTAAGAGGATGAGGCATTGCGGCATAGAGAAGAGGAGGAGCAGAAGGAGGGGGAGGATGAGGAATGAGAAGGCGTAGGAGAGGGAGAAAGAGAGGGGGAGGGGGGGGAGGGTGTGGGGACTGTGTATTCTGCTCCCCGGGCTGACGCAGGCCCGGGTTGGCGACCGCCTCCGGGGGCTCGCTCCCGCCCTCCTCGAACCTGGGCGGGTAACAGCCGGCAGCGACGAGCCCCCCCCCTTTCGCCCTCCTCCTCCTCCTCCTCCTCCTCCTCCTCCTCCGCCTCCTCCTCCTCCTCGTCCTCCTCCTCCTCCGCTTACGTAGCCCCTTTTTAGGTCCAAAGGGGGGCCTTTGCGGGCGGCGTTCTTGAGAGGGGCGCAGCCGCCCCGAGCCAGGCATGGCGGCCTGGTGGACATCAGTGTGTTCCAGGTGTTCGTCGGGCACTCGCTGGTGCGCCAGGTCGACGCGGGCTGCTGCGTGGGCCGGCTCATGGAGGGCATCGAGCAGGAGGCCAGGCACCGCCAGTGGCAGCTGCAGATCTACAGCGATGGCCTCGCCGAAGGCGGCGACTTTGATGGTGGCGGCGGACGAGGCCAGGCTTCAAGCCCAGGAGCAGGAGCAGCCGAAGATGTTTGGGTACTGTTTCCTGCACGAGGGCATGGAGCAGAAGTGCGCGCAGGCTGCCAGGGTGGGGAGCTTCTCACTCGCAGCGCTGGGCCTGGGCTACGGCAAGACGAGCAAGGACAAGCAGGGCAAGAAGGCCACGCAGTGCCTGGAGAGGGCGCGTCCTGCAGCCAAGTCGGACGGCAAGAAGAACCAGCCCACCAAGGCAACGGTGAGCAGCCTGCGCTCGCTGTTGCGGGCCCCTTCGTCATGGGGCCAGGCGGGCGGCGAGCTGGGCAGGGGACGGCTGGGTCCCGCTGGGCCCTCACGCCTGGTCCCGCATGTGGTCGGCAGCGGCAGGCCGAGGTGCTGCAGAGGGGCGAGCTGCAGACGAGACGACCGTTCAGAAGGCGGAGCACTTCACCACGCGGGAAGTGAAGACGCCGTCCGGGACGCGGGCGGAGCAGCCGCTCACGATGGCTGCCGCGAGGGCGGCTCCGACGCCCGAGCCGGGGCAGCCCGCAGAGGAGGCAGAGCAGCCTGGAGGACACGTCCCCCTGCGAGGGCGAGGAGGCGCGGGGCCCCTGGCGCGGGCCTAAGCGGTGGGGCCGCAGGGCGCGGAAGCGAAGCGCGGAAGCAGGAGACGGCGTCGGCGTGAAGGCAGAAGCCTCCTCCTCCTCCTCCTCCCTCCTTCTCCCTCCTCCTCCCTCCTCCTCCCTCCTCCTCCTCCTCCTCCTCCTCCCTTCTCCTCCTCCTCCTCCTCCTCACGCCTCCTCCCTCCTCCTCCCTCCCTCCTCCTCCTCCTCCTCCTCCTCCTTCTCCTCCTTCTCCTCCTACTACATCGGCGACGGCGGCGCGGCACAGGGTGAGGGTGTGCACGGGCTCGGCGCGTGCGACGAGGATCGACTCCAGGTCTTTGCCAGCGCGGTCAGCGGCATCCACGGGAGCAAGCTGCTGCTGGAGGCAGTCCACGAGCTGGGCGACGGTTCGGGCCTCATCGGCATCGAGGGTCTGCGCAACGTGCCGACCAACTTCGGGGACAGGCTGGATCCCGAGGGGGTCGACGCGATCTTACCTGCGGATACCGCGTCGGCTCTGGAGGAGATTCGGGGCGGTACGTGGGCTGACGGATGCGGGGCGTGGCGGAGTTCGTCGAAGTCGAGGGCCGGCTGTGCCTCCGTGCGGCGAAGAACTCGAAGGCCTCAGCGAGGTGGGGTGAGGGTCTGCTCCAGACGGCGGGGGTCCCGGGCTCCTGGTCTGGCGCGGCTCGCGCACTCTCTGGCTCTTCTTGGGTGCGGAAGTGAGCTTCCGTGCCTCCGCCGGTCCCCTGCGGGGCCCCTTGGGCCTCGCGGGTGGTGGCTCCCGTCCACCTGGTGCCGTCGGGAGTGACCTCCTCCCGTCGGCGTGCTGCCGTAGCGCCGAGCGGCTTCTTGAAGCCGACGTAGTCTGTCTCAGTCTCGGCCTCCTCCTCCTCTTCCTCCTCCTTCCTCCTCCTCCCTCCTCCCCCCTCCTCAACCTCCTCCCACTTCTCGTGCTCTCCTTCTCCCTCCTCCTCGTCCTCGTGTACCTCCTCCCTCGTCGTCCTTCCCCCCCCCCCCACACTCCCTCATTTCTTGCTCACCCTGCCCCTCCCTTTTCCGCCCTCACCCTACGGTCGGGAGCTCTTGTTCAGTGCGCCGCGGCGGTGGCCCCAGCGACACGCGACCCTCCGCGAGCGGATAGCGTGTCGCTCCGCTCCGCAGGGCGGGGGGCTGGGAAAAGTTCGGAATGTGGACTTCTGGGGGCCGGGAATTGCATATCGAAGAGAGCGGTGGCCAGAACTGGCGGAGCAACATGATATCCGAACAATCCCGGCGGTATCCCATCCCCCTCCCCATTCTCGCCCTTCCCCTGATATTTCAGCCTCGCTTCCTCCTCCTCCTCCTCCTCCTCCTCCTCCTCCTCCTCCTCCCATACCGCTCCTCCTCCTCCTCCTCCTCCTCCTGCTCCTCCCCCTCCTCCTCCTCCTCCCGCTCCTCCTCCTGCTCCTCCTCCTCATCCTCCTCTATCTCCTCCTCCTCCTCCTCCTCCTTCTCCTCCTTCTTTATCTCCTCCTCAATCTGCTGGGCTCGAGCCCTGGGGCCGATTGTCGCCGTAAGCCTCCAGGAGCGGGCTCGAGCGCAGTCGGAATGGGCGAGCACATCCGCAAAAGCAGCAGCGCAAACTGGGTACACCATTCTGCCGCACAAGGAGTTCTGCCTACGGTGCCAGGCGCTCATCATCAAAGGCCTCTGCTACATGGCGACCGTAGACGGTGTTCCATAACCGCCCCCCCCCCCGAACTGCTAGGCGAATGATTCTGCTTTCCGGGGGCTATTTGAGGGTTGGCGACGCCCAACACCACTCGGCACAACATCACTCCGCCACCGCCGCCGTCGCGGAGAAGAGGAGCAGGAGGACGAGAAGGAGGAGAAGAACAGGGCGAACCGGGAGAGAAGCGGAGTTCATTGCCAGCCAAGAGCTTTGGTGGTGGGTGGGCTGCAGCACTCAACGACACGAAACCCTGTCTCTATTAGGGAGGCGTCGTGACCGAAACTGCGCCCGAACGTCTGCACGAGTGTGACCGAAGCTGGCGCCCGACGTTGCCGACCGCGCCCGAGTGTGACCGGAATGTGCGGCTCGAGCCCAAGTCGATTTTCGATATCGGCCACAACTTCGGTCGGGCTGCGTGTTCGGTCACGGCTTCGGGCACGTCTTCGGTCACCGACTGCTCTTCGGTCACCTACCCTGGGCTTCTTAATAATAAGCGTGGGGGGGTACCCCCCCGACGGGAGCCAACCTCGCCTCGCAGTCGCGCCGCGACGGGGGTCGGAGCGCCTTGGGCGCGGGGTGGCTCCCCGCGACGGGGGTCGGTGCGGGGCTGTCGGCGGGGGTGGCGCCCCCCCCCCGACGCTCATTGAGAAACTCGGAGTACCCCTTTCGACCGATAGGGGCCGGGTATCATGGTGAACTTAGGTCGGGCATGTCCCCCTGCAGGCAGGTCATGGACGAAAAATAAGAAATAGCAGAAACGCACTCCAAACTTATATACATATATAAGTACAAGGCTGCATTGGCGCTGCGCGCCATGTACCTTGGTCCTGTGAGTCCTGCACGCAAGCGGAATGCGTGCGTGCGTACATGCGCGCATGCATGTAGACACGCACACGCGCATGCACGTTCCGTATAAATGTCTAGGTGTATACATGGTTGTATGAGTGTATACAGCGTACACATGTACATATAAATATGTGTGTAAGGGTATGAACATGCATATGCAACTCGTACGGGGTATCCTCGGGCATCTTCGCTGCATGCCACGAGACCCTCAACGACTGGGTCACAATGTGAAATGTCATGGCAGCAAAATCAATGAATGTTGGCATTCGGGAGCATCGTGGGGGTGTTTTCGGGGCCTTCGTGGTCCGTTTCGACGCCTTCATGGGCCGTCATGGGACCTTCTTGGGCCGGGAGAGCTTGGGCCCGTTGGAGCCCCCTTTGGACCCATCTTTGGCAATTCCGGGGACCTCCCATGGCCTGTTTGGGTCTGTGCTGGGAGCCCTTGGGGGGCCTCTTGGTTCCATTGTGGGCTGTCTTGGGGCTCTCGTGGGCGATCGTGGGGCCCGGCTCGGCCGTCTTGAAGCTTTCTAGGGGGCCTTTGGGGGCGTCTGGAGGCGATCTCGGGGGCTTTGAAACCGTCTTGAAAGCTGATGAAATCCGAAAGGCGAATATGCTCAAATGGTAAGTTTTACTAAGGGAATGGGGCGATTGTTGTGGTTTGAATGCCCCTTGGAAAGCTTTCTGGGGTGCCTTAGGGGTCTTTATGTTGGCATTCGGAAACATCGTGGGGGTGTCTTCGGGGCCCTCGTGGGCCATTTTGGCGCCTTCTTGGGCCGTCAAGGGTCCTTCTTGGGCCGTCTTGGCGAGCTTGGGCCCGCTGGAGCCCCCTTGGGACCCATCTTGGGCAATTCCGGGGACCTCCCATGGCCCTTTTGGGTCTGTGCTGGGAGCCCTTGGGAGGCTTCTTGGTTCCATTATGGGCTGTCTTGGGGCTCTCGTGGGCGATCGTGGGGCCCGGCTCGGCCGTCTTGAAGCTTTCTAGGGGGCCTTTGGGGGCGTCTTGAGGCGATCTCGGGGGCTTTGAAACCGTCTTGAAAGCTGATGAAATCCGAAAGGCGAATATGCTCAAATTGTAAGTTTTACGAAGGGAATGGGGCGATTTTTGTAGTTTGAAGGCCCCTTTGAAAGCTTTCTGGGGTGCCTTGGGGGTCTTTATGTTGGCATTCGGAAACATCGTGGGGGTGTCTTCGGGGCCCTCGTGGGCCGTTTTGACGCCTTCATGGGCCATCATGAGGCCTTCTTGGTCCGTGTTGGGGAGCTTGGGCCCGCTGGAGCCCCCTTGGGACCCATCTTGGGCACTTCCGGGGACCTCCCATGGCCCTTTTGGGTCTGTGCTGGGAGCCCTTGGTTCCATTATGGGCTGTCTTGGGGCTCTCGTGGGCGATCGTGGGGCCCGGCTCGGCCGTCTTGAAGCTTTCTAGGGGGCCTTTGGGGGCGTCTGGAGGCGATCTCGGGGGCTTTGAAACCGTTTTGAAAGCTGATGAAATCCGAAAGGCGAATATGCTCAAATTGTAAGTTTTACGCAGGGAATGGGGCGATCTGTGTGTTTGGAAGGCCCATTGGCAAATTTTTTGGGGTGCCTTGGGGGTCTTTTGGGCCGTCCTGACGCAATTGGAGTCCCTCTTGGAGCGCTCTTGTGCTGTCTGGGGCCTCCCTAGGGCCTTTCTGATGATTCCTCGGATCGCTTTGAGTCTGCTGGCAAGGGGTTTGTGGAGACCCAGAAAGCCGGGTGACCGTTTCCAAGGACGTCCAAGGGAGCCCGAGAACCCCAGACCCCGGGGATCCAGTTTAGGGGGGGAGGATGGTTCCCCCCCCCCCGGGCTGGTAATAATATCGGAAAAGGAATATAAAGACTCCACAAACCGTCCCCCGACTATGTTTTACTACTTGTGGAACTTCCTCACGTAGAGGGACGGACCCGACTTACTGGTGAGCGCCCTCTGCGGTTGATCCATCCGCCCGCCCTCCCTGGAGGGCCGTCCAAGAGGACGGAGGCTCCTGAGCTCTCCTGCTCTCGGTCAGAGCCTCCTCCCCCCTCCTCCTCCTCCTCCTCCTCCTCCTCCTCCTCCTCCTCCTCCTCCTCCTCCTCCTCCTCCTCTTCCTGCGGCACTGCGGGCAAAGCGATCCTTCTCCGCCGAAGCCCCCGCCGCGCACGCGCCCGTCGCGTGCGGCGCGACGCACGACCCCCTTCCTCAGAGGTCCTCTGGAGGGGGCCTCAAAGAGCCTCTGGGTTCTTGGGCACCCCGCAGCCAGGATAGAGAGAGATGCCTCGAGGGCCTCGGAGGAAGGAATGCGGGAGCCCCGGAAACACCAGTAAGAAAGGGCGACAGGACCGCGCGAGGACAGGGTCGGCGGGAGGGGCCTCCTGGACCAGAAAGGGGAGGCGGGACCAGGAACCAGATGCTAGTGATCGCTCGTGGATCGTCGGGGGCCCATCTCCGTCCCAGCCGCCGTCGCCCCACCGACGGTCATGAACCACATGTCAGCGCGGCACGATTCTTGGGGTGACGGCGGATGGAGGAGGGGCATCGCTGCGCTCGGGCCTTCGAATCCTACGACTCGAGAGCCACGGCAACAGTCTCAGCGTCGTAAGCTACGCCAACCCCCCGCGGACGGGGGAAGGTGGGAAACAAAGGGGCAGGGCCCGATGGGGGAACGCCCGACCAAGAGGGGGGGATGGAGCCTCAAGAGGCCGCGGGGGGGGAAGGGGCCTCAAGAGGCCTAGAGGTGAGAGGACGGGACCCCCAACGGGCACACGGATCTAGGGGTCTTCTGAGGCCTCCAGGCGGGCTGCGGGCCGCCGCGGCCTGTAGCCACTTGTAGTTATTCGTCTCATCCCCCTCGCTCTGCGAGGGGGCCTTCGTGGTGGTGTGGGGCTCGTGCAGCTGATTGCTCGGGGCGATCGCGCAGCAGTTGCTGCCGTGGTCGACCGTGCGCCCCTGTTACAGGCATGTGGGGATGTCTCCCAGCAGAGTGGCGTCGATGATCCAGGTCGCTGACGATGAGCCCTTTGTTCTCGTCGCAACAGCTGTTGTAGTGCCATTCTCTTGCTGCTGTGAGAGCAGCCGCTGCACTGCGCATGACCATCCCTATGATGTTCTCGGTCTCGCTTCCGCTGGTTGCGTAGCCGTCGCACATAATAGCAGTGAGTCCGTCCATGGTTGTCGTCTGCGGGTGTTGTCTTAGCAGATGGTGCTCGTGGATGTTGAGGTGGCAAGTGTCTCGGTCTATCACGATGGTGGGGTGGTCGTTGCTAGCGTGTCTTGTACTGCAGTGAGCGTTCTGTACATGGCGTGGCTGTCGTTGGTGACCTCTCGCTGCTGTCGTGTGCTCAGCTGTGGTCGTCCCCAGGGGTGTTGCTGTGTTCTTGCATGTCTGTCGGCTTTGAAGGACTCGATGCTGGCATCGACGATGTGCAAAGCCACTCCCCCTTCTGCAATGCATGCTCGCGCGTGGCCGATCGTATCATCACCTTCGTCGCTGTCGGTGAGTGTGGTACATATTTGTATTGCAGTACCTTGTAGGTTGGCGTGTCGCTGGATAGCAGTGGTTAGCTCGCTAGTGTTGTTGCCGTTGGCAGTGGTGATTAAGCTGGTTGTAAGTGGTGCTCTGTCTTGGGTGGTGGGTGGTTGTCTTGGCTCGTTGCCGCGCTGCTCACTGGGCGAGCTTGCCCCCTCGGGGATCCTGGTTGGGATCGGTGCTCGTGTGTCTTGGTTGTATATGGTCGGCCCGATCGGCGGCCCGTGCGTCTGTAGTGGCGGTGCCTCGGCGTAGTCGTCTGGAAGCCCACCGTGTCGGTTGAGGCGTCTCGCAAGCCGAAGCTCTGCTTGATTGGCGTCGGCCTTTTCGGCTGTAGCTCTGTAGTTGCTCGCAATCCATGGGGCTGCGCAGGTAGCAGGGGCCTTGACGCGCTTGATGAGCCTGTTCGCGGAGTGGAAGTTCTTCGTGCAGCTTTGGCAGGCGTCTCCCACTACGATGTTGCCGTGGTTGTCGTCGCCTCTTTGGTGGGTGTAGCGTGGTCTGGAAGGTTGCGCCGCAGTGGTAACACATGAAAGGTGCAGCCTCGGTCGCTCCGTGCTCCTCGTCGTCGCGCGGCCGCGCAGGTCGGAGTCCGAGGGTTGCCGCGGTGTTGGCAATCATGGTTTCCCATGCGGTTCGTTTCGTCGTCTCCGTGTGCTGGTCGATGGATCTGCAGTGCGCGTGGGGGAAGATAGCTTTGAGGTGGCATGCGTCGCGCCGCGCCATCGCGATGAGCTCGGCAATGTCGTTAGGGGCTTCGCGTTGGCTGCGGTCGCAATGGTGGCGGTGGTGTTGCAGGTCGTTTGTGATGGTCGTAGCCCATTCGCCGCCCCGCTGAATGTCGTGGTCTGCAAGGGCTTGCGGCTCTGGTGGGCTGGCATGTGCTATACGTAACACCTGGCGGGGACGGAGCCGTCGCAGCCGCTCGTGCAATGTTGGTAGTGCCGCTCGTTCAAGGATCTGGTCATTGGTGATCCCGATGGCCTGTCGTGCTGCAGATACGTAGGCTGTCATCAGCCTGTTCACGTCACGCTGCTTGTTAATGATCCAGGTGCCCGCGTTGAAGAATAGCTCGGGGGACCCGGACGCCTCCCGGTAATGGATCTTGGCGTTGGTTGTGACTGCACGCCTCTTGAATGGCGTTCTGCGGAGCGGTCCCGTCGTCTGTCGTAGTGCAATAGTTCGGGCTGCGATTTCTTGTCCGAGGTCGTTCTTGTCGTTGAACATTGCTCCGAGTAGCTTCGTGCTCCTTGTGATAGTAACCGTGGGGCCGATGTCAGATACGCTGCGCTTCTCTTGGATCATGGTGCGGGCAGTGCGCTTGCCACCAGCAGTGTTGGGGTAGACGATGTAGCTCGGCTTAGCCGTGTTGATCGGCAGCCCCCTGCTGAGAGTCGCACGAATGAGATGCCCCCACATGGTACTCGCAAATTGGTGGATGTCGTTGCCGTTATTGGTCGCTGCCGCTGCCTTGACGTCGTCAACAAATGAGGTGGAGGATATTGTTTTGGTGCTGTCGCTCTGTTGGAAGCGCCGTGGTGCTTCGGGAATCGTTACCACGACGCCGTCGGCAGTAGCGCGCTGGTGGTAATCTGCTGCGACGTCGGCCATTAGCGCGTTGAAAGTGAAGTCAGCTGTTGGGGCGCCAGGCCGAGTGCCCAGTCTTGGTGTAGCACAGCTAGCTCAATGGATAAAGAACCATGTCCCTTTGTGGGCCTCCGTGAGCATCTCGACTCTGTGCTGGTCGGTAACGTGCTTGTTAACGATGCCGTCGTTGGCCGTCAGCTGGGCGATGGCCGGGATCGCTGCCTCGGGGATGCCTATGTTATCTACGACGTCTCTGATGTGATCTTCATCGGGCTGCATGTTGTACTCCGGTTGGTTGATGACCTTGTGGAAGGCTGCCTCGAGGTCGATCATGATGATCACAAGGTCGTGCTTGATCGCACTGGCGGGGACGAAGAGCTTCCTCATAATCATACGGTTGAGGTCCGTGCTGTAGTGGCGCCTGCCGCCCATCTGGGTGGAGAACATCATATCGGGGAGGAGGTCCTTGACACGCTGCCTGATGTATCGGTGATGGTGCTTGATGACGGCGTTGGCGAGTGCGCTGGAGCGTTGATTCGGAAGTGCCTCTTCCCCGCCCTTGCCTTTCCACAAGTAAGTCATGCGTGATCCTTTGTGCGCCAAACAGTAAAGCGCGGCCATGGTGATGACGGGGCGCATGTGTCGAGCAACTTCTCGCGGTGCAGTTTTGGCCAGGTCGTCGGAGATACAGTCGGGGCAAGGGGCTCGGCAGGGCTTAGACTTAGCGAGGATGTCCTGCAGCTCATAGGTGCTGGCGACATTATCAATGCTCCTGGTGATATGGCTCGTGTCGTGTGTGATGTCGTTGCTGTATCAGTCGATGACTTCCTGCTGCGTCATGAACTTCGCTGCTTCGTTGTCGCCGAAATGCTTTGTCGCCTCTTCCGCTTTCCTGACCGTGCTGATGACTGCGCTACCGTCCGATGTGACCATTAGTGGGTACGCCCTCTTCTTCTGTCGTTTCCTGCCGCCAAAGATCAGCAATTTCGTTGTGTACTTCCATTCGGTGAAGGAGTCGCCGTTGTGTTTCGCTTCCATGGCAAAGTGGGCCTGTTCTTCCACGAAATAGTCGTAGTCTCTGTCGAACAGCTTGACGATACACTTCCTGGTATTTCGGATCATCTGCTTGGCGGTGTCGAAGAAGTACTGGTGGTAAAGATTGCTGCGGTCTTGGTGGGCGACGTAGTGGATGGCGTGCTGCGGTAGGCGTGCTGGATGGCTTCGACGGGCATCTAAAGGGTGGGGTCCTCTTTTATGTACTCCAGTAGGTTTCGTGCTCGTCTATTGGCTGCTGGATGTTGTAATCCGTCGTCTGAAGCCTTCCTGATGTATTTCATGCACTTCCTGCGGCACTGGATGGAGGCCAACTTTTTTTGTGATATGTAGTATTGGAACGTCTTTTGGTCCTGTCGTGCGAAAAATCTCTGAGCCGCTTCCATGATAGTCAGCATGTAGTAGTAGACGTGCTCGTCGCAATTCATGTTCCAGGCTGGGAGGGTCGTAGAATTGAGCGCATCCTTGAAGCTGCGGGCCGCCTCGTCTGACTTCAGCTGGTTCCTGTCGGTCTTCGGGAAGAAATGCTTAGGTGCTGTATGTCGAATGGTCCAATGCGCAGTTGTTGTGCTTGGCGTGTGGTCCTCCCTGTTGCGGTCGCGCTTCTCCTGCTTCTTCATGGCCTCGATGTCGTTGGGTGTGTGGACGTCTGTGATCTTAGGTGTGATAAACTCGTTAGTCATGAGGTAATACATTCGGTGCTTGTTACCGCGTCCGTCGCGCCAAGTGTGGTGGTCCTCGCCGCTGGATATCTTGGTAATGATGATCGTGTAGCTTCCGTCTGCGGCCGTCTCGTGCAGCTTCTTGCCGTTGCCGTCCTCTGTCTGTGGAAATCCTTCGCCGCCAACCCATTGCGTCTGCACTGCGCCCACTCTGCCGTTGGCGTCGGTCAGGGGTCACGTCGGGCTTGTACTTTCGTATGTGTCTGCTTAGAGCTTCCCAGTATTTGTTATTGTCGTCGTCGCTATTATTGTTGTGTGGGGCGTGGCTGACGCAAATGGTTATGTTGACGGGGCTGGTCTCGATCTTGACGGTCAGGACTCGGGGCTCGCTGACGAATACGTGGAACTGACTCGGCACGAAGTACTGGGGGCCGTTCTTGCCATCTGCGAAAGGCTCTTCTAGGTTTATCCAGAGCTCGCATCCAGCGTTGTAGTTGTCGTGGGGACTGCTGATGATATAGTAGCTGTTGCTGGTGGTGGTCCTCCGCTCGTCCTCCTCCTCCTCCTCCTCCTCCTCCTCCTCCTCCTCCTCCCCCTCCCCCTCGTCTTCCTCCTTTCTCCTCCCCCTCATCCTCCCTCCTATCCTCCTCCTCCTCCTCCTCCTCCTCCTCCTCCTCCTTGTCCTCCTCCTCCTCCCCCTCCTCGTTCTTTTTGTTCCTCCTCTTCCTCCCCCTCAGTGTCCTCAGTGTCCTACCAAAGCAAGTCCAGCAAAACCAGCCGAACTAGCTCAACCTGCTGCCGAGCAGGGCCGACCCCGAAGCAGGAAGCCTATGCCTCCTCGACCTCGGGTCCCGACGAATTCCCCCCCCCCTCGTCGGGCCCTTCGTTGGCCCCTCCGCCGAACGGGGCGCCGAAGAGGGGGAAAGGGAGCCCCCAGAACCTGTTGCACTGGGGCTCCCGCCCAGACCTCAGTCGCCCCAACGCCATTCTGGCCAGACGGGCCGCCGACCGAGGACGGGAGGCGAAGGGGCGGCAGGGGCGACCGAGGTCGTGGACCTGTCTTCTGGCATAGGCCCCACAGACTTTACAGAATACGATCAACCCCCTCCCATTAGCCCCGTCACCAGGCCCCCGACCCCCATCCCCACGCACAACCCAGAGCTTATGGGAGGGGTGGGCGATCGCCGCGGGCCGAGGCATTCCTGGGCAGGGAGACGAAACAATCCTAGATCGGAGACCCTTCCGAACCCCGCAGATTTTACATCCCCAGGCCCGTCATAACCTCAGAAGCGAGTGCCCACGCTCGCCCGAAACAAGGACGACAGAATCGCGGGACGGCCTGGGGCGGGGGAGGGGGCTCCGATCGGGCCAGCCTAGGCCTGCCAACCTTTTCAAGACCGCTCCGTGATGGGCGGCGATCAACTCCGCGGCACGAATGGCCGCACTCACCCTGCTCACCCTCTCCATCACGGCCTCGAACGACGGGTGCAGCCTGGCGCCCTCCTTGGCCTTGCTGTCCGCGCACTTGTTGCCGCGGTGCCAGGCCCAGGGCGTCCCCGCCGATGCTGCCGCGGCCCAGCTGGCGTGGGCTCGGACCCACCGTAGACGGAACGCCTCTGGCCCCAGGTCTCTGATGTGCCTCCAGGCCTCCTTCCACAGGCCGGCGTAGAGCGACTCTGGGCCCTGGCACCAGTCCTCTCCTCTTTCGTAGTCCCCCACCAGCCGCAGGTAGTCCGTGACCACGTCCAGCTGGGGGCCCTTTTCCCTGAGCACTCGCACCAGCGCGTAGAGCTCGGCGTAGCCGCTCTCCTGGACGGGCCCTGGGACACTTCCGAACATCCCGCCCGTGATGGTGCCGTCAGCCTCCACCATGATGCAGGACCAGCCGCTCCTGGTGAGCTCCTTGACCTCTGGGGCCATCGCCGAGCCGTCGATGCAGACCGTGCCGCAGGCCAATCCCCCGATGAGGGCTCCTCCTCGGCGGCAAGCCTCCTGCTCCGCAGGCCTCGGAGCCCTCTCCAGGCCGAGGCTGACCAGGCACCTGACGAGCCCGATGTCGCCGTCAGGGGCTGCCGCGCCTGCACTCCTGACCTGCTCCAGGTCCATGGCCGCCGCGATGCCGCTGGTGCCATCACAGCAGAACAGACGGTGCTTCTGCGTCCCTGGCTCCGCGCCGCACAGCCTGCACTCAGGCCTAAGCACAGCCCGTTCGCGATACAGCTCAGCTTCCGTCACCAGGCCGCCGCAGACCAGCGCCTCGAACCTCGAACAGGGCCACCTGCTCGCTGTCTCCCTGCCTGCGCAACGCCGCGACCGCCCGCTGGGTGACCTGGATAGTCGGCGGCCCGCCAAGCGCTCCTTCGAGGTGCTCGCTGTGCAAACGCATCATCAGCGAGCGCTGGATCCCCGCCTCGATGAACTGCCGCATCCTCCTGGGGCTGTAGACCTTCAGGTCGAGCTGCTCCCCAGTGTCCGTGACCCAGCATCTCCAGCCAGCCGCAGCGGCAAGCTCCCACCCAATCCTGCGGAGGGTGAGTTTGACTGCGTCGGCAGGCCCTCGCACCTGGCCCCAGGACTCTGGCTGCGCCGCGCTGAAGGCCTTCTCGAGGCCCCCGTCGCTGCGGAGGCCAAGGAAGACCGCCTTGGCCCACGCCTCCAGTGGTAGGCTGTTGGCCGCGAAGACGGGGTCCGCCTTCCAGCCCTGGTCAGGCTGCAACGCGAACTGCAGCGTTCTGCTCTTGCTGCCCACTGCCCCCGCCAGCGCCTGGCCGTTGACCGCCCTGGCCATCTCGAGCATCGCCGTCGGGACCCCGACGACCCGAGCTCCGTGGAGGACCGAGGCAAGCCCGCCACTCCTGAAGATCCTGCCCAGCTTGACGCCCGCCCGCCTGAGCGCCATGCATCGTGACGAGCGGACGGCCAGCCTAGCCATGCGGCTCCTCAACACCGACCATGACGCCCTGGGCTTCATGCCGAAGTCGACACCCAGGTTCTTGACCGCCCGACGCAGCCTGAAGTCCCAGCGCCGCAGTCGGTGGGCCGCGCGCCGTCCTGCACTCTCGTCGCTGCTCACGATGTTGCCCTTCGTCAGGGACACCTTGGGCCCCAGCGCCTCCAGCCTCTGACAAAGGTCTCTGGTCGCGCCGAAGGCCGTGAACTCCACATCCCTGAGCTTCCCGTAGACGGCCAGCGTGATGTCGTCGACGACCACGTAGGCTCGCAGCGACGTCCACTGGGCCACGACCGCGTCCATCGCGGTGAGGAGCACGACCCTCAGGAGCGTCGTGGCGTACCCGCAGCCCGCAACGATCGAGCTCCCGATCCTGATCGCATCCGTCTTCCAGCGGCTAAGACTGAGCCTCCTCGGGCCGCCGTAGCTGCGGAGGACCATCTTCGGCCTGCGCAACCTGAAGCCGTGGCGGCGAGCAGCTGCAACCAGCCCCTCGTGAGTGACCCGCTCGTAGGCCTTCGAGAGGTCCGTCATGGTCGACATGGAGTGCTGCTCCATCGCCGCCGCCACGCTGGCATCGTGGGCCTGGAGCCAGGCCGCGTCCTCACAGGACTTCCCCGCCCCTCCGAAGAAGTAGTCCCGCCTATGCGCCGACTCCCACTCGACCGCGTCAATCCTGCGCAACCTCCCCAGCAACCGAATGAGGCTGCAGAGTAGCCCAATCGGCCGCCAGCCTCCGTCGGGCTTCGCCAGGAAAAAAACCAGCAGGGTGTTCACCTGCTCGGGCATTCGGCAAGATGCCTCCAGCACCAGCAGCAGCAGCCCGAGCGCTTCCAGTCCTCCGTCGCTGAGGTGGCCGAACGCTTTGGGCTTGATGGCGTCCACCCCGAGAGCCGTGGACGGCTTGAAGGAACGCGCCGCCTTGCGGATCTCCTCTGCCGTGGGCGCCTGCCCTAGCCCCTCCAGGTGAGCCTCTGGCAGAGCCTCGTCAAGGTCCATCGGCTGGATCTCGCCGTGCCGCCAGATGTTCTGGTACTCCTCCAGCAGAATGTCGAGGGTGGCCGCGATACCTGCAGGCCCGTCGTCGCCATCTTGGTCGGCTGTCCAGACCTGCGGCGCTCGGCAGAAGGCGCGGGCGGCCCCTCCGCCGCCCCGCGCCGCCTCCTTGGCCCAGGCGCGCCAGCGCAGGTCACGACCTTTGGCACAGCCCGCCTCGAGCCGACCTGCGATCTCCCTGGCCTCGGCCTCGAGCTCCTCGACCTCCGCGAAGGTGAGCTCCCACATCCTCCGAAGTCGCCTCCTCCACTTGGCAGCCTCAGGCGCGCTGAAGGCTTCGCCTCTCGCGTGCGCCGACGAGGCCAGCTTGCTGCCCATCTTGGCGTGGATGGCCTCGAGCTGTTGGCAAGCCGCGGCCCTGGCGCTCGGCAGGTGCAGACGCCTCCTCGTGACCAGCTCCTCCCAGAGCACCGCGCCGACTCTGCGCCAGTGGGCCGCCTCTGGGGGCCCGCGCGCGTGGGGGCCGCTGTTGGGCAGGAACACCTCCTGCTTGACAAACCGTGGATTGGCCTCTCGGCCCGTGTATCTGTCCGCATCCTGGGTCCCGATGTGGTAGCATCCCAGCAAGTCGGACTCCATCAACTCGGCGAACTCCCCGTAGAGGGCGTTCACTGACACTTGCGGCAAGCTGCCCCCCCACCACATCCTCGGGGAACGCCGGGTACCCAGCCTCCTCCTCGTGGCTGGTTCCTCCCCTCGGCGAACCTTCCAGCCCATGGACTGCAGGACTGAGGCCACAAGGCCCTCGCGTCAGAGAGGCCGCGTCACCCCTCTCTTCCACCGTGGGGGAGCCCGCCGCAGGCTGCTCGCTGGCCCCTCCTGGGTCGCGTGGAGTCTCCCCCCCCCCCGTCCCTTCAGCAGCACGGGGGGTGAGAGGGCCTGGGCCGAGGAGCAGGCTGAAGGTGTCGGCCCACTCCGCGCCCGCATCTTGGCGGCAACGGCCCAGCACGCCGTCGTCGACCGCCATCTCGAAGACCTCTGCTCCCAGGATAGGACCCTCCTCCAGCTGGGCGGCTGGCGGCCGATCCCCTCGGCCCGCCGCTGCGTCCTCAGGGTCTGGGCTCGCCGCTGCCTGCGCAGGCGTCGCCTCGGGCTGCGGCCAGCCCAGCTGCTCAAGCACCCTGCGTAGGCGTGCGACCAGTGGGCCCCACTCGGGGGGCTTGGGCCGCGGCCCCACTGGCCGCTCGGCTGGGAAAACGCGCGGCCCTTTGAGGACAGGCCGCCGCGCGGGTGCGCCTCGCCGCCCCAGCTCCAAACGGGCGGGCCAGTGGGGCGCGAGAGTCTCGTCTAGCCGCCTGCATCCCCTGACCAGCTCCCCCATCTCGCTGGAGACGACGAACCAGTCCAGCTCGTTGCCGCCCCCGCTGCGGCAGGTAGCAACGCCAGGCGTGACCGTCATCCCGCCGACTGCCTGCGGCCAGCCCCACTCCTGGAGCTCACTCGGCTTGCAGTTCCAGTCGCCGCCAATCACGAACGGCACGGCCGTGCTGGCCAGGTAGCGCCCCAACTGGCCGAGGGCGAGCTTCGACTCGCCATCGAGACCCTTGCCCGTCACGAGGTAGACCGAGACCGCCAGGAAGCCCCCTCTGACAGCGCAGTTGACCCAGCGAGCGATCACTCGTTCCTTCGGGAGGGCGGGCCCCGCGGGCGGGTCGCCCATCCCGATGTGGGCTCGGACGCCGATCCCGACGCCGCTGGACAGGCCGCCCTTGTCGGTGACCACCGACGCGTTGAAGACCACCTTCCAGCCCTCCTTGCGGCAAGCCTGCTCGGCCTCCGCCTTGGCACCTGGCGCCACCGCGACCTCCTGCAGGAAGACCACGTCGGCGGACGCCTCATGATGCTGCCATCTCATCATGCTGCTCCTGGAGGTGGTGTTGGCCGTGTCCAACCTCCAGGTTCCTCCTTCACGCCTCGCTCGCTGGAGCCTCCGCTGGGCCTCGTCCATCGGCGGCTGCTGCGGCTGGCCGCTCGACGGCCTCTCCTCCGCCTCCCTTGAGCTTCTTGGAGGTCGGGAGGGCGAGCCCCGCTGCCTGGCAGAACTCTTCGAGCTTGCGGCGGCCTTCGCCCTCCAGCTTGGCCAGCTGCTCGAAGAAAGCCTCGCCCTCGGCGTCGACCCTGCCGCCCCCGCCGTCACCACCTGCAGCAGCAGGACCAGCATCGTCAGCAGGGGCCCCAGGGGGTGCTTTCGCCATCTCGACGTCGTCCTCGGGCGGCGGGGCCTGCTCGGAGTCGACCTCTTGCCGCAGGACGACCGCCTTGGCCTCGAGGGCGGCCTTGGCCTTCTGGATGGCCTCCCCGACTGCCCCGCTCTGTTCCCGCAGCACGCTCGCGAGGGCGCGGATCCCCTCCAGGGCGCTGGCAAGGTCGCCTGCCTTGGACGACTTGGTCCCAGGCGGAAGGCCGACCTCCTGGACCTTCTTGGCCTGCTCCAGCTCATCCTGGGCGGCTGCCAGCTTCTTGTCAGCTTCAGCCACCTTCCGCTTGGCCTGCTCCAACTCCTCCTGGGCTGCGCTGACGGCCTCCTCCGCGGCCTCCTGCTCGCCCCTCCTGGACTTGGCCTGCTTGCCGAGCCGCTCCACCTTCCATAGGAGCCCCTGCAGCACCTGGGAGTGCGTGCGCGGCTTCTCCTCCTTCGGGGCCTCCTCAGGCTGCTTGGGCAGCAGCTTGGCCCTGTCCGCGTCTGAGAGGACCACCCCGCGCGCCTCGAGCTGGGCCAGAAGGTCCGCCGCGCTCGGCTGCTGGGGCTGCGCTCCCTGGGCGCCGCCTCCTGCGCTGCCAGCGAGAGGCCCTGCACCGCTCTCCTCCTTCTTGGCCTTGACCTTGGGCGCGGCCTTCGGCGAGGCATCCCGCGCGCCCGCAGCGGGGGGCGCTCCAGCCGCGGCCTCCACTGCGCGCTGGCGCACCGACAGTGGGGCCGCCACCCCGCACCCGGGGCAGGCCAGACGGCTGGCCCAGTTGCCGTCGGCGCCGCAGCGGCCGCAGCCCCAAGTGGGTTTCCGCGGGCCAGGCAGGACCTTGCCGCTCCCTGCGCCCGCGCCGCCCGCACTGCCGCGCCAGGGCGCGCCGCAGCCTCCGCCGCCGTCGGCCCACGTGACGCGCCGCGGCACGAGTGGGGGCCGCGGCCCGGCGGAGCCAGCCATGGGAGCCAAGAGGGTTGCGGAACGCGAGGAATGGTTCCCCTCTCTTCAGCATGGAAAGCAATCGTAGCCCGCGCTCGTGCGTGCACGGCGCTCTGAAGTATGCACGCACAAGACCCCCCCCTCTCGGAGAGCCCAGAACGCCTCTCCTCCTCCTCCTCCTCCTCCTCCTCCTCCTCCTCCTCCTCCTCCTCCTTCTCGGGGAGCAGGAAGAGGGGGAGGAGCCCTCATCGTCCTCGTCCTCGTCCGCCTCCTCCTCCTCCTCCTCCTCCTTTTCCTCCTCCTCCTCCTGCCTCTCCTCTTCGAGGAGTCCTCCTCTTGCTCGTCCTCCTCCTCGTCCTTCTCCTCTTCTCCTCCTCCTCCTCTTCCAGATATCGCCCGTCTCTGCTGGGTTCGGCTCTCATACCGTTGCTCTTTCATGCTGGTTGTGCTACCTGGGTCTTTCCAAACTGTCCAGTCCGATCCACCGGCACTGGCTGGATGGCCGCTGCGTAGAATCAATCCGCCTCATCATCCTTCTCCTCTTCCTCCTCCTCCTCCTCCTCCTCCTCCTCCTCCTCTCAGCTACACGCCAGAGTGACACTGGGCAAGAGTGACCTTTGCGCGGCTCCACTGGGGACGCGGGGTGGCTCAACCTGCGCTCGGCGATCGGGGGGGCCCACCGAGTCCGCATCTGAGGCCGCACCAGGGAAAGGTCGGTCCTACGTCTGACAAGCACCTCCTCTTCCCCCTCCTCCTCCTCCTCCTCCTCCTCCTCCTCCTCCTCCTCCTCGAAGAGCAGGAGGCCTCCCTCCGGAGAACGACCAAGAGGAAAAGGAGGAGGAGGAGGAGGACAACGCGGCCCGAGCCGTGGGCCACAGGATGGGGCGGTGTGCCAGCAGCGTCTCGGCGGCGCCCTCCAGCACACGGGCCGCGTGCCCCTGGGCGGAGGGAGGAGCCCCAGCGGCGGGGGGGGTTCGAGGCGGGGGCGGGAGCCCAAGAGACCGAGGGAGGAGGGGGGGAGGAGGCGGGGGAGGAGGAGGGGGAGGAGGAGGAGGAGGAGGAGGAGGAGGAGGAGGAGGAGGAGGGGGATGAGGAGGAGGAGGAGGAGGAGGAGGAGGAGGAGGAGGAGGAGGAGGAGGAGGAGGAGGGGAGGAGGAGGAGGAGGAGGTTGTGGGGCCGAGGCGGGGCCTGGATCCTTCTCCTCCCGCTCACGGTTCTCTCTTGGATAACTCTTTCCCCCCCTCCTCCTCCTCCCACTCCTCATGCCCCCTGCTCGCTACACCTCCATTATGGTGCTCCTCCTCCTCATCCTCCTCCTCCTCAGCGATGCTCGTTCGGGGGCCTGGGTACTGGACCGGAGGGGACGACAAGGGCTGGATGGCAAAGAGCAGGGCAGAGGATCGGCTCACGCAGCTGGCCTTCCTGGCGCCTCCTGCCGCTGGGTGGCGCCCAGGCATCGAGGAGTGGGCCCAGCGTCGGGGCAGAAGCCAGCTGCATGCAGCAGACTTCGTACCCCCCCTCGCCATCGCTCGGACGTCCATTCCCTGTGTTTTTTTCGGTTTCGTGCGTGGTTTTTTCGGCAAATGATCAAGGATTCTCCTCGATGGTCCTCGCCGAGGAAAAAACGCACACGTCCGAGCGATGCCAGGACCCCCTCCTTTCCCCATACCCTCATTTCGTCTGGCCCGGCTGGAGCCACTGGGCGCCACCAGTGCGCCGAAGCTGCGTCGGCCGTCCGTCGACTTGAGCCGACCTCGAGCCGACTCTGAGTCGCAGTCGAGTCGAACTGGCGTTGAGCTGGGGTCGAACCAGAGCCGAACTGATCCGTTCTGTGGGCCCCAGAGAGCTCCTCGAAACCAGCACCCAACTCATCGGAGGTGGGGGGGCGAGATGGGGGCGGAGCGGTGAACGCATCCACATCCGCACCCTCGCGGTCTGGACTCCAGGGCCACGACCCCGTGGACACGCGAGAGGCATGGCCAATGCTCCGCACGAGGCCGCCGAGAGACGAAAAAGACCCCGCTGCCACGGGGCCGCGGCCCCGGGGCCTGGTCCGCGAGGCCGTGGTGGGAGGGCTCCAACCATACTCCTGCACCGATACCGGCCAGGATCACCCTGGTCGGCGGCGAGCGGGGGGGGGAAGTGAGAAGGAGGAGGCCTCCTCAAAGGGCGGCGGGACGCCCCTCAGAAGCGCGCCGGCCTCCCGAACAGTGCTCCGTGTCTTCGGGGAAGGCCTGGAGCAATTCTCGGAAGGCCGGGGGACTTCCGAGCCTTAGCGGGCCCTGGAAACGACAGGGCCGTTTTTTTGCCAGTTCCGTTTTGCTGCTTTTTTGCCGGTTCCGACGCCGTTTTTTTTACCGGTTCCGTCGCCGTTCTTTTACGGGTTCCCGCTCCGGTTCCAATCCTGGAGCCGTTTTTGTTGCCGTTTCCGGTCGCCGGTTTTTGCCGTTTTCATTTTCAAGGGACGTTTTAAACGGAAGCGGTGGAAAAACGGCCCTGCCGTCTCCGGGGCCCATTAAGTTCCGAGCCTTCTGGGAGGGCCTCCTCCTTCTCGCTGCCCCCCTCGCTCGCCGCCGACCTGGGCCCAGGATCGGTGCGTTGCGCCCTGGCTTGGGCAGGACGGCGTGCGCCCCGCCGCTCTGGGGCTCGGGACATCGGCCCGGTGTGGATCGGTGCAGGCGTGTAGAGCTGGTGCCCCGTGTGCGTGTGTGTGTGTGTGTGTGTGTGTGTGTGTGTGTGTATGTGTGTGTGTGCTCCGCCCGCGAGGAGCAAAAGGGACCAGGGGGCTCGAGGTGAACCGTGTCTTTGTCGCTCTCGCTTCGCTTCCGGTGTCCGTCGCTCCGTCTCCCGTTCCGCCTCTGCTGCGAAATGTAAAACCAAAACCAAGACGGCCCACGACATCGCCAAAACACCGTTTAGCTTTGAGTCAGGCGTGTCCCCTACAGGCGGGATTTTCGACGAAACAACAAATACTCAAAAACTACTCCAAAATTGTCAAAAATACAAAGAAATAGTCTCCAGACTATGGTTTGACTATTTTTGAATATTCCGCCTGTAGAGGGACAGACCCGACTTAAGTTTGGCTCGAGCCCTGGTGGGGACGACGACCGACGCGAGAGCAAGAGCACATCGTGCCCGACCAGAGGCCGGCCTGGCAAGGGCAGAGCGCATAGGCTGGAGCACCCGCTGAATGGAGTACTCGGCGCCATCCCAAGAGGGGGGTGTCCAAGAGGGGGGGGCGCAAACCATGGCCGGCGGCATGTGCGCGGCCCAACGGGGGGGCCAGGGACGTAATGAAGCAAGAAGAGGCGCCATGAAATCTGAGGAAATATCATGGCCCCCGCCATGATATCCACCCCCCCTAGTCATCACCCCCCTCCTTTCCGCCCCCGACAATTCAAATCATCTCAAATATCATAGCGAATCCAAGCCTCACGTAGCCTCGTCTATACTAGGGAGGTGCAGTGGCCGATACTTTGCCAGAAGATCTGCCCGAGCGTGACCGAAACTGGCGCCCGACATTTTCCGACCGCGCTTGAGCGTGACCGAAATGTGCGGATCGTCGCCAATGCGATTTCCAGTAGCGGTCACAATTTCGGTCACACGCGTTTTCGGTCACACGACGTTTTCGGGCGACATGTCGTTCACATTTTCGGTCGCACACCAGGTTGGCTGGCTATGACAAACCTGACTCTTGTATATCCTGCGCGCGCAAGGGGCACGTTGAATACAAGGGACGACAACGACAACGGAACACGGTTGCGCGACCGGGAACAATGAGGACGCTTCATGGGGGCGGAGCGTGCCATCGTTTTACACGCACCGAGGCCTTGAACGCAAATATCTTCATACAAGAAACGCTGTCTGTTCTGAGAGAGACCCGTTATGCTGATGGTTGTCATCGCCCCTCGGGGGTTCGGGGCAATTTTTCACCAGCTAGAGCTCGACTAGTACACCCTCAACATGGCGGTACGACGGCCCCGATCAGCCTTCTGCGGGCTACGCCCGGGCTCGGGAACCGATTCGGCAACACGGTAACGAACGCGTATCATCACAGAGGGGGATGAGGAGGATGGGGAAACGGGGGGAGGTAGTGATGCATCGAATCGAGTGGGGAGGTATGAGGAAGAGAGGAAGGGGGAGGCTTGAGGACGGGGCCAGAGGAAGAAAGGAGGATGGGGGAACGCAGGAGAAGGAGAAGGAGGGGGAGGAGCAGGTACTGGGAGGCAAGACAACGAGGGGCGGGTAGATGAGCGGGGGGAGTGGACGGAGGAATGGCGAAGGGAGGACGGAGGAGGGGGATGACGGGAACGCGACGGAGTAGGAGAGGCCGCTGTCGGCCTGAACGCGAGGGGGGCCTCCAAGACCCGCGCGCCCTCCGAGACGTGACCCACCTGCTCGCCCCCATTTGGCATTTTTGTTTGCCTCGCACGCCTGAGGGGGAAGATGGAGAAGAGGAGGAGGAGGAGGAGGAGGAGGAGGAGGAGGAGGAGGAGGAGGGAGGAGGAGGAGGGGAGGAGAGTGAGGAGGGGGAGGGGGAGGAGGAAGGGAGGAGAGGAGGAGGAGGAGGAGGAGGAGGAGGAGGAGGAGGAGGAGAGGAGGAGGGAGGAGGTGGAGGGAGGAGGAGGAAGGGAGGAGGAGGAGGAGGAGGGAGGAGGAGGAGGAGGAGGAGGAGGGGAGGGGAGGGGGAAAAGGAGGAGGAAGGGAGGAGGAGGAGGAGGAGGAGGAGGAGGAGGAGGAGGAGGAGGAGGAGGAGGAAGGGGAGGGAGGAGGAGGAGGAAAGGGAGGAGGAGGAGGAGGAGGATGATGGAGGGGAAAGGGAGGGAGGAGGAGGAGGAGGAGGAGGAGGAGGAGGAGGAGGAGGAGGAGGAGGAGGAGGAGGCGGGGAGGGGGGGGGGGAGAGGAGGAGGAGGGAGGACGAGGCGGAGGAGGAGGAGGAGGAGGAGGAGGAGAGGAGGAGGAGGGGAGGGGGAGGATCAGGAGGAGGAAGGGAGGAGGAGGAGGAGGAGGAGGAGGAGGAGGAGGAGGAGGAGGCAGAGGAGGAGGAGCAGGAGGAAGGAGGAGGAGGAGGATTGTGCTGTATTTGCTACTTAGGACCCACGCAGCATGGAGAGCACCACGCAAGCCGCCTTCGCCGTGCAAGTTAGAACTTACAAGGGCTTCCCTGTGGATGGATGGCGGTACTCCCACAAACGCGTCAGTCGACCCTTGGCCGACCGATCTCGGGAGGGCCTGTAGCCCTCCTTCACACGGTGCGTCCACTTACGCTGAACGTAGGAAGCACATCGCCTGCTGAAGACAAAACGGGGCGAAACACGAGGTGGTGTCCTCACCCCTGTGCCTTAAGGATGCGTGCTTGTCGGGCTTCGAATTCGACAGATTCTGCCCCCGACGGCCCGCACTGAGTCTTGCTTATGGCCCTGGGGGTGACGGCCCCTGGGGCCGGCAGAAGGGGGGGGAGGCACCAGAAGAGGAGCAGGATTCGACTCGGCGGCCTGACTCGGAACTGGTCCACTGATGCTGCACGTTTCGACGTCGGTAATCGCATCGACGACTTCGGGCGACATAGCACCGAGCCTGACAGCGAACTCCATGGCATCTGCTACCATGGTATACGTCTGCTGATGCGCCTGACGCTGCCAGAACGGACTAGCGCACAAATTAGCCCCCTTCTTCGCGTATTCGTCCGCGAAGCGGTTGCCATTAACCCGTCTCTTGCCAATCTCTCGCCGCTGGGCTCGAGTGGCTTGGGCCCTGCGTTGTATTATCTGGATGGTCCTGGGGCCCAGCCCTCCAAGATCGTGAACCAGAAAACACAATTCTCGCCAGAGACCGCAGTGTGCCCTGGCATAGATTTTGAAGGACGGCATCACGCTCCTCAGCACCTGAGGGGTAGCGCACAGCTCTGACGGGCACATCCCTTGCCGATTTTGGGGCAGGGGAAGGGGGCCGACAGCTTAAAAAAAAAAACACGGGTCTCCCCCGAGGCATCTAGGGTGGGGAAACTCCACCCCGCACGCTGGAGGGGGACAAACTCACCGTACTGGAGTGATCCGTCAGTGCAGACCTCTCCTGTGATGACTCCTGGACGTTCGCCCTCCTGCGGAACCTCGAACGAACTTGGCAGAACATCCAGGGGTTCTATAGGGCCTTCGGAGGTTCCTCTGGCCCAGAGGGATTCGAGACCTGTGAACGGGTTTGCTCCTCTCTGCCGTACGTGCCTGTCACCAACACGCCTGCGCATGACATGCCGCGTGCTGCATGCATACGTGCGGTGCCAATCTGTACCTACAGCATACGTATCAACATGTGCTAAATGGTGCACCTCGGTCCTGCATGTGACAGTAGCAAGACTCTGGGTGCTCCAAACAAGGCGAAACACAGTTGCAAAGCACGCGCCTGCTGGCCCTCTCACTAGGCCCCTCGGCCTCGGATGCCCGTGGGGTCGCATGACCCACGAGCGCCAGATGGCCGTCAGGCGGCCGCGCGTAGCCATGTCCGTCGCCTCCTGCCTCGCCCTGGCCCGCTCCTCGATGAGCCCCACGTTGGCGATCACGGCAAGGTCCGCGCCCTCCAGCAGCAGCACCAGCGCGGCCGACCTCCCCTTGTTGTCGCCAGGGAGGGCCGCTGCCACCGTCTGCCTGAGCATGGTGTACAGCGTGTCCGTGGCGCCCTGGCCGCGCGTGCCGTGGAGCTTCGACAGCGCGACCCCGAGCTTGACCACCTTCTCCGCTGCGCCTCCTGCGGCCTTGACCCTCTGGATCTTCCAGCTCCTGGCCTTGGCCGCCATGGTCCTCTTGGACTGGGCTTCAGGACGAGGTCGCCGTGCAGCTGACTGGGTCACGCCCAAATGCACGGCCTCTCGCTCCACTTGAATGCCCATCTGCTTGTGCTGGCTGCTAAGCTGCTGCTCCACACCGCCATGCGAGACCACGTCTGCGGTCTTGCCGTCGCTGCCTCTCGACACCTGCATCTCTTTAGCACCTGCTCGCAGGCGAAGATGAACTCGTCTGTCAGCTTCGTGTGGAGCGCCGCCATGGCGGCCAGATCGCCTCTGATCGACGCCGCTATGTCGTCGGCGTCTAGGTGCATGTCTGCCCACGGGTTCTCAACGTAGAGGTCGTCGGCGGCGCCGATGGGGACGAGGGGCAAGTGCAGCGGGCCGAACGCGGATCCTGCCACGATCCCTCGCGCCCAGACTTTGCCCTCGGTGTTGCACCCATTCAGCCCCGCTCTCCCCGTCATCATGGCGACGCGCTGGTACGTCTCGCCCGCGGGGACTGTCTCTGGAGGCTCACCGGGTCTGGGTTTTGCCTCTCTCGCGTTGTGTGGTATCAAGGGCTTCCACGGGACCTTCGCCTTGGTCCACTTGTGCAGGGCCCCCGCGGACTTCTCGCTGTGGTTGCGAACCCATGCCCGCCTTGGCTTGGTGGCTTCCCTGAGCTCGCTCTGCTTCGCCTCGTCCGCCTCGCTAGCCGTAACCCGCTGCCAGTGCTGGAGGTATTCCAGGCACTCTGACAGCTCCTGCGGCTCATTCATGCATTCCATGATGGTCTCGAAAACGTGGGACCACGGGGTGTTTAGCTCCTCGCCATACTGGTATAGCTGGCCGAGAGCCGACTTCTGGGTCTTTGCCTCCTTGATGGACTTGATATGGCCCGCATCCAGGCCTCCTGGCTCGCACGAGCTGCTGCTGAGGATACGAACCAGGTCCCGCAAAGGGCTCGCCACCCATTCTGTTGCCGTAGCTCGCGCCGTCGGGGCCCCCTTGTCCCTGACCGCTGGGGGCGCCAGCTCTCGCTTCTTGTAGACAGCCTTGTCAGGCGGGTAGGTTATGCCCATGCGGCTTGGCACCGCGATCATCACCCCCGCCCTCGTGCCTTCCTTGTTAGGTGCGCTAGGTACCACTGCCGCCTTCCAGCCATATTTGATGGGCCTGGCCGACAGCAACTCCTCTTGCTTGGGCACCAGCTGGAGCTCCTGGCCGAAAACGACTGACGCCTGGACCTGGTAGCGCAGCTGGTGTAGCACCTTCTCGAGCTGGTTGGAGGTGTTCGCATTGTACGTGATGAACACCCGTGTGTCCGCCGTGATACTTGCACACTGCTCTGGTATGTCACTAGGATCTCGACAGGCTCGACTTCCGCAACGCGAAATGGACCCTATCAGCCAGATCAGCAATAATCGTTTGCAACATCTGCCAGTGCTTCTGTACCCCCTCGTCATTGGCACGGGCCTGCTTGAGGGCTGTCGCGATCTCGTGTGGGCTTGCCTTGGCCTGGAGCTGGCGGATGTCCTCGCCCTGCTCCTCGAGGCCTGCACAGGCTCGCCTCTTGTAGCATGTGCGGTTGCCGCTGAGGTTTGCCCCATCTTCTTCCATCGCCACCGCCATATTATCTGCAGCGTTCGCCTTCTTCTTAGCCGCGAGCGCGAGGGCCACCTCCAACTGCTTGATGGCCTCCGCGTCTTGCTCCTCGCCATCCGTCCCCATGGACTTCTTGGCGATCTCCAGGTGCGCGCAGACCGAGTCCCCTCCCTTGGACTTGGGGGCCTGACCAGCGGCTTCTCCGTGCCGCGGAGGGACTCGACCTTCTTGCCCGCCTGCTCGGCCTTGTTCTCTGCGATGTGCAGCTGAGTCTTGATGTCCTCGAGCTGCTGCTTGAGCTTCACCACTTGGGCGTCTGCCTTTGTCTGTGCTTCCTCTGCTCCACGGAGCCTGCGGCGCACGGCCGCTTCCGCGTAGCATGCTGGTAGTTGTACTTCTTTTGGTGCCAGCAGCCCGTCGATCTGTTCTTGCAGCTTCGTCGTGGCTTCCGATACGAACTCCATGCCAGGTTCCTGCGCGAGCTGTCCGAGATCTTTGAGGCGGGCCCTGAAGATCCCCAGCTTCTTCGCAAACCCTGGCGTGGTCTCATTCGAGGTGCCGCCATCGGAGTCCTGGTGCGTGTCCTTCGAACCGTCGCCCTGCCCGTCACTCGTGGGCATCTGCCGAAGCTTCTTACACCAGTAGCATACTTTCGTCCTGTCCCAACAGTCATCAGTGTGGCACGCTGCGCATGTCCACATCGCCAGACTTCTGGGGCATCTGGTTGCTCGGGGCGGCAGTGCCACTGCCAAGTTTGCCGCACCCTGCGACACGAAAAATCTCCTGGCACCTGGGAATCCTCGAGTCGGGCAATGGCTAGGGAGGAGGAGGAGGAGGAGGAGGAGGAGGAAAGGGAGGAGGAGGAGGAGGAGGAGGAGGAGGAGGAGGAGGAGGGGGAAGATGAGGAGGAGGAGGAGGAGGAAGGAGGAGGAGGACGAGGAGGAGGAGGAGGAGGAGGAGGAGGAGGGGGACAAGGAGAGGAGGGGAGACGCATCGGTCTCCCTCGTCTCCCCTGGCGGCGCCTCGGGGCATCTTGGGGAGCCAGGGCGGCTCGAAGCTGGGTCACCCAACCTCGCCCTCCGCGCAGTGCGCTTTGCGACGAGCGGTTTGCCGTCGCGCCCTCGCGCCGAAGTTCCTGGGAACAGCCACGCTCCGTGATCCAGATCGCGACGCGCGATGACCTGCGCGCCCCTGCCCGCGCGCCCCTGCGGGTAACCCAGAGAAGCTGTCGGCCTCGAGAGGTCGTAAACGTCGTCGATCGCCACACCTCGCGCCCGGCAGCAGCCTGACACTCCGACGCACCCGCTGCGTGAATGGCTGGTGACTCCGGGTGGCTGGTGGCTGGTGACTCCCCGAGCCGATCAGGGTGGCTGGTGGCTCAGAGCGGTGTCATACAGTTCCTCGACGCAACCTCTCCAGCGCCCGGGAGAGGGGTGAGCCCACCCCACTCCCAGCATGGGGTACGTCTGCAAGGATGGCACTGTGAGCGCGCTTGGGCCCCCAATATTGCGCCGAATTGACCAACATCTTCCAGCTGCTCAAGCTTGACCACCAAGATGGTTAGAAAACGCCTTCAAGATGGCCCGAGATGCCACCAAGAGGTTCTCCATAGGGCCCGTGCTGTTCCGAAGGCAGCCTGAAGGAACAAACACTGAAGGCGATACGCTCGGATGTCTGGGATCTGCGCTGGACACCCTCCCTAGCGCTCGGAGGGCGCCAGGAACGGCGTCCGCGGCGCCGCCAGAGGGGTCCAGCGCCGATCCAAGAAATCCGCACGGACCTCAGGAAATTTTTAGATTCTCTGTTCTTCGTCAACCCCCAGGAAGAACACAACACGACACGGAAACCCTCCCGGAGGAGAGAACGAAAGACTCAAGCTCTACAATCGGCCCGAACAGCTCCCCACTACCAATCCCACTGGAATGAGAACAGCGAAATCATGGAGAGGGGGTGGGACGCCGAGTCACCATGGCCCAACGGCCCCCAAGCCAGGAGGAAGCTGGGACACGATAAGGGGGAGAATAATAGAGACAACGGGAAGAAGAACCAGAAGACAAGATCAATGAGGAGGGCGGGGGACGGGGACAAATATCGGGAAGGAGCTGGGGCGACTCCAGACAAGCGGAGGTGGGAGAGGGAGAGGGTGGGGGAAATCCTCGGCATTCCTTCCTCCTTATCCTTCTCATTCTTCTCCTCATGTACGTCTTCCCTATCGCTCCCAGTATCATCCCTGTCTATTGTTCACGTTCCCCTTTTTCCTTTTCCTCCTTCAATACATCTTCCCCCGCCTGATCATCAACTTCCTCCTCCTCCCCCTCTTGCTCCTCATATTGTACCCCTTCCCCCTCATCCCGGCATCCCTGCTCCTTTTCTCCTATTCCTCTGCCTCCCCCTGCTCCACATCCGGAGACCCAGCGGGGGCGACTCCTCGACGTCGATCTTGATCACGTCGACTCTCGGCAACTGGAAGCTGTCCAGAGTCCGAACGTTGACGTCCTCTGCTACCACTCTTCCTCCTCCTCCTCCTCCTCTTTCTCCCCCTCCTCGTCCTCCCCCACCCCGACGGACCGTCGGGGGCAGGAGAGGAGGGCTTTCCGCACACCGCGGAGGAGGACGAGGATGGAGAAGTTCCATCCCCAGGGTCGGACGGCTCCGCGGGAGGAGGAGGAGGAGAAGGAGGAGGAGATGGAACGGAATGGAATGGACTTGGGAGGACCGAGGTCCGCCTGCCACCGCGGCGGCGCGCGAGCGGGAGTGGCGACGAGGAGCCAGAGGGTCCCGCCGACCAGGTGCACCCCAGCAGCGGCCCTCTCAGGAGGGGAAGGCCGTGGCCAAGGCCCCACCACCCCCGCGGGGACGGAGACCAACGGGAAACCGAACGCAGCCGCAAAGGCCGCCCCCAGGACCCCGCGGCCCGAAAACGAAACAACTCCCAGGCCGCCCCCAGAAATGCACCAGCGTTCCGAACCGAATCCAGCAACTACGCATAGCTACCGCCCACTCAGCCCAGGAACCCCTGAGTACCAAGCCTCGCCTGTGGCGGGGCTCGCGCCCGACGGGCGGCCTCGCCGATCTCGTCGAACAACTCCTGGCACATGCTCTGCCACACTAGGCTAAGCGCGTGGATGCAGCCCTGGGAATCGCTCTGGCCCGCCAGAGGCCACAGCCTGCCCTCGTCGACCTTGCCGCGCACCTTCGGGCGCTTCCCAGATTGCACCTGCTCGAAGATGTGCTCGCACCAGGGCTCCAGGAGGGCCGCGAACGACTGGTGTGACCCGCAAGGCTGGACGAACCCCTTCTCCACGGCCCCCCCGGGGACCTCGTCCCAGAGGAGGCGCCGCGCTGCTGCAGGCACGACGCGGCCCTGGCCCGAGGTAGCAGGAAACCTTCCTACGGCCAGGTCCACCTGCACCTCCGCGGCCGGCTCCTTGTCGCCGCGCGGCACCTCGAAGGAGCCCTCAACCACCAGCTCCTCGAACCGCTGAACCTCCTCGGAGCGGGCGGGCACTGCGACGCCCTCCAGCTCGTCATGTTCGAGCCGCCACTGGGCGTGGCGGCATGCCGCCGCGGAGGCCGCCCTCGCGTGCGCCAGCTGGTTGGCCTCCACCGTGGCCTCCCAGCTCCGCCGCACTCCCGCGCGCGGCTCCTCGCCCTGCACGGCCACATCCACCAGGGCCCCGTGCATGGCCATCTCCTGCACGACCACCGCCTGGACCGCAAACTCGTTCCGCGGCGTGTGGTCGTCCGTCGTCCTCCAGCTTGACCGTCTCCTCGGGAAGGTGGGCCTCCCCAGCAGCATGGCCCAGCTTGTCCTCCAGCTTGATCGTATCCCTGGGAAGGTCCCCGACGTCTTTTATGTCGACCCCGCTCACGAACTCCAGCATGTCCCTGCTCGCGCTGCCCACCGCGAGCTGCCCCATGATGGTGTGCAGCACCGTCGGCGCCTCCGCCGTCGTCTCGACCCGCTCGGAGTTCGCCTCGAGGCCCGCGCCGCAACCGCCAACCCCACTTCCGAACTTCAGCTTGATCGCCTTCTCCTCGTCGCTGGGGCCCGCGACGCTCGGCACCTCGGCGGTGCCATCGATCGCCTCGAAGCCCACGCAGCTGCACCGTCGTCACCTCCAGCGTCGGGAAGACGGGGACGGGAGGAAGCTCGTCGCAGTCCTGCAACAACTTCTCGTCCGTGCCCTCGCCGCACTCCTGGGTGGTCGGGAGGTCCCCGATGAAGACCTTGACCGCTGGGCCTGGCCCAGCGCCTCCTCTCAAGACCTCGCACTCGCCCCCCGCTGCCCCAACGAAGAACCCGGCAACCATCGCGTCCGCGACGTTGTACGAGTACACCTCGAGCTCCACATGCCCGCGGCGGGCGATGAGGAGTGGCTGGCCGAAGGCCACCTTCTCCATCGCCTCGTCGCCGCCCGCGCTGCTCACAGCCCAGACATGGCTCCCCGCAGACGAGCCGCTCTGAAGTGCGCCTGCGGAAACTCTGGGGGCCACCACACGCAAGAGCCAAAACGGCTAGGAGGAGGAGGAGATGGAGGAGGAGGAGGGGGAGGGGGAGGAGGAGGAGGAGGAGGAGGAGGAGGAGGAGGAGGAGGAGGAGGAGGAGGAGAAGGAGGAGGAGTGGGAGCAAAGGGAGGAGGATGAAGAACAGATGACGCCGACGACGACCACGACGACGGCGAGGACGACAGCAGACGGATGATCCTCCAGCCGTTCCCTCGTCTTCGAGGTCTGCTGGTTGGGCTCCGTTGAGGCGCCCTTTGAAGCGGGTGGCAGTGGGGGCACAAGGGATGGCACGGCGGAGGGGGGGAGGGAGGAGGGAGGAAGCAAGGGGAGCGGGGGAAGGGAAAGAAGAAGGAATGAAAGATGGATGGATGGAATGCGGGGGGAGGAGGTCAGGTGCCTTGCAGTTCCACGGCTGGGAGAAGGGAGTGGAAGAGGGAGGGCGGAAGGAGGTGGAGGGGAGGGAAGGAGTGAGGAGACAGATGAACGGAAGAGGAAGAACGGGAGCAAGAAGGGCAGTGAGGAATGGGACCGCAGGGCGGGAAGGGGAGGTGGGGTGGAACGGGGAGCGGGGAAGAAGGAAGGGAGCGGGGCAGCGGGGCAGCGGGGAAGGGAGGATCACCCCCCCTTCCTGGAGTGAGCGGCCTCCTCTTCCTCCTCCTCCTCCTCCCCCCCTCCTCCTCCTCCTCCTCCTCTTCTTCCTCCTCCTCTTCAATGATCATCCCACTTGTCGTCGGAAGGGTGTGAGGACGTGCGTGAAGAATGGGCGCCACGGCCGCAGCATGAGCACCATGAGAGGCAGCAGCCTGTGGGCGCCGACCGGACATCCTCCCTCGGGCACCGGCGCCATCAAGCTAGAGAACAAAGCAGAAGAACGTGGCGCCACCCAGTCACGTGTTGACTGCGCCACTGCGTGTTGGTAAACTTCCGCACCTCCCTGTGGCATGTTTTCCTGCATGGCGCTGATCCACCACGTTGCCTGTCGTGCGCAGAGGAGGGGGGGGAGGGGGAGGAGGAGGAGGATGAGGAGAAGGAGGAGGAGAAGGAGGAGGAGGATGAGGAAGACGAGGAGGAGGAGGAGGAGGAAAAAGAAGGACCGCGACACTAGCCCTGAAGGGCCCTCGGCACCCTGCGAGGCAGGCTGAAACTGGCGCTGCTTGCGGGGCCCAGCGAGGCGCCTGCAAGCCTGCCCCAGCTTGGCCAGAGGAGGCGGCAGAGGAAGGAGGAGCAGGGAGGAGTGAAGTGTTAGGTTGGGCATGTCCTCATCCTCCTCCTTATCCTCCTCCTTATCCTGCTCCGCCTCCTCCTCCTCATCCTCCTGCTCCTGCTCCTGCTCCTCCTCCTCCTCCTTCGCCCTCCACCTCCTCCTTCGCCCTCCTCCTCCTCCTCCTCCTCCTCCTCCTCCTCCTCCTCCCCCTGCTCCTCCTCCTTCTCCTCCTCTTCCCCCTGCTCCTCCTCCTCCTCCTCCTCCTCCTCTTCCTCCTCCTACAGGCCGATCTTGGGCGAAACAAAAAAAACAGTCACAGATATTCAAACACAGCCAAGAATAGAACAACAAATTTCGTCGCCAAACTACTGTTTTACAATTCTTGCATACTCCTCCTGGAAAATCCGCCCCTTTCCCCGGGTCGGGTTCTTCATCCCGAATCGTTCTTGTTCTGACGGTCCCGAGGCCCGGCGAAGGCCCCCCAGCGGCCGAAAACGGCCAAAAACCTCCCGCCCTGGTTTTGGTTTACGACGCGATCGTGTCTGGGGGAGAGGAGCAGGGAGGAGTGAGGTGGAGGAGGGAGGAGGCGCGACGCCAACGCGCCGCGCAGGCCTGGAACACGCCGTACATGCCCGCGTTCTGCCCGGCCAGCAGCGTCGGCGCCGGCGCGCGGATCGTGCGCGGCGCCTTCGACGCGTCCGAGAGGGCGTACTGGAAGGTGTGCACCTCGGGTGATGCAGGCGTGCTGCAGGACGGCGCTCGTCACTCGAGAGCTAAGACGAAGCCAGGGACGAAGATAGAGTCGGCTGAGGATAGATCGAGAATCACTGACATCCGGCGGCTCTGGAAAATGTCTCGGGCCGTGTTTTTCCCATCGCACTTAAGGACCACATCCCTGAAATAATTTCGAGCACCCAGACACGTACCGAAGCAGTGTCGGACGAGCATCGCCTCCCATTGCCCGACACGGGAAAACCATAAAGTTTCGGTACTTCTTGGTGCTCGAAATTCCTTCTGGTGGTCAAGGCTGAAGCGGGTTGCAAGATCATAAAACTCGGGTCCAGCCCCGCCCCGTCGTCGCCCTCGCACCTCCGCCTCCGCCTCGCCCTGGCCGGCTTTCCCTCCTCCTCCTCCTCCTCCTCCTCCTCCTCCTCCTCCGCCTCCTCCTCCTCCCCCCCCTCCAAAGGGATTAGGAGGACAACCAGAGGTAACCCAGGATGCATCACCGATGCTGCAAGACACCCTCCCGTCCAAAGTCCCCTCCTCGTAGGTCCCTACAGGCCTTCCCGTTCACTGCAAGAAAAAGCGTCCCCTTGCAAGACCAGCGCCCTGTGGGCCAGCCAGTCCGGCGAGGAGCCCCATTTTGAAGAGAAGCCGCCTCGCGCCCAGCTAGCGCGAAACCAGGCTAGCACGGAAAGCCCCCCCCGTCGGAAAATCGGCTTCGGCTTCGTGTTCGTGTCGTGTGTGCGGGCGACGGGAAGCTGCGCAGGCGCACGACAGGAATGATGCCGCCGTGGCCGGGGGTCGTGGAGCCGTTTGACTGCCCCCCCCCCCCAAGTGGCCGTGCCGGTGCCCGGTGCCCGGGTTGCCCCGTCGGTGGTGCGGGCTTGCCCCGTCGGTGGCGTCGGGTGCGCCGTCGGTGGCGCGGGGAGTCCCGACGGTGGCTCAGGGTGTCGCGTCGTGGCGTCTCGATGGTAGCTTTTGAGATCAGCTGCGAGACCGATAAAAGTATCGATCGTGGTATCGATTGCGCGATCGATCGTGGTCGTGAGATCGAGAGATCGACCGTAACACCGATAGCGACATCGATCGCGAGATCGGTCGCGGCGCCGCTCGCGGAAAGCGCCCATTCATGGCTTCAAGGCCCGAGACAATCTGAAGAGGCCCTCAGGCGAGCCCCAAGAGACCTCCGTCACCATTTTGACTCAAGCCTCTGGCTCCAGGCGCGGAGCTGCCGCGCCGGCATGGGACGCGCCAAGCACCGCGCGGGTGGTTTGGGCGAGCCGCGTGGAGGAGCGAGCAGTATAGCTCCTGAGTTTCGAGTGCAGCGATGTAGAGGTCCCATGACTCTTCGCGGCCTCGCCCCAGTGGTGATGCTGCCTCCGGGGCTGCATGAGTGGGGTGAGCGGGGGCGTCAGGCGCAGCGCCCGGAGGCGTGCATTGCGGCGGTCAGGCGGAGCGGCGGGGCGCGTCGCCAGGCCCGTCACGCCGTGCCCGAGAAGGGGCCGGAGGTGGGCGAGCGCGCCTGGGAGAAGAGCGCGCGGCAACGGCGTGTGGACTTGAAGGCGCTCCCGCCCGATGCCCTGGCAGCAGGAGGCTCCGCGGGCGCCGACGCGTCGGGCGAGCTTCTGTACGAGAACGGCGCTCATGCACCGCGTCATGCTTGAATTCCCGTCAGGCCTAGCTCCAACGCGGTACGGTGCATGCTTGTTTGGGCCCCTAATGGCCGATCAACTATGCATCGTGCCATGGCCGGGTCGAAGATCGACACCGCCTCGGGAGACGCCAACGCGGTACGGTGCATGCAGATCGTCCGCGGGTTCTGCGCGCCCGGTGGCCGAGCGAGCCGACGTGCGCCGACCTGCCAGCGTTCGTTGACGACGTGGCCTTCGCTCCGGCGCTGGGCGAGGGCCGCCCCGCGCGCCCCGCTCCCCGCCGAGGACGATGCGAGGCGGGCGAGGGGCCGCAGCCCGATCAGGGGGCGACGAGGAGTGCAGCGAGGAGTCGCGGCAAAGGGCTGGACCTCGACGTTGTTCTTCGTTTGGCTCTCGTGCTGCTTTCCGTGTTGCTCTGCCCGTTGCCCAGCGCCCCCCTGCCAAGACGGAAAACAAGACACGGCCGAAGTCCAGCAAAACGGCGCCTAGGCCCAGCCCAGGCGCGGCAGAGGCGGTTGGCGCACTCTCTCTCTCTCTCTCTCTCTCTCTCTCTCTTTTTTTTGGGGGGGGGGGCGCGCCGCGCGGCGGGCGTCGCCGCCGCCCAGCGCGGCGCCGACTTCATTCGGGGGCGGCCAAGAGGGGGCGTCCAAGAGGGGCGGGCGCAAATCATGACCGGCGGCAAGTGCGCGGCCCAGGGGGGCGCCCGCGGACGTTGCTGAAATAGTTCAGACGCTGCGCCATGAAATCTGGGGAAATACCATGGCCCCCGCCATGATGTCCACCCCTCCCCCAGTCATCAACCTCCCTCTGTGCCGCCCCCGACGGGCGCCGCGGCAGTTCAAGCGCCATGCTTGACGCGCCGCACCGACGGGATTTCGCGGCACGCAGCGCTGAGCGGCCACGCGCCCAGGCGCCCGGGGGGCCGCGGCGGGCAGACGCTGCGGGCCACGGAGCGACATGCACGGAGCTCTCGGCGCCGCGGCTGACCCGCGCGCTCCCGGGCCACGCCCGCGGACGGGAAGCGAGAAGCCGTCCGAGCGCGCCTGGGAGCGCGCCGCGCAGCGACGGCGGATGGATCTCAGGGGGCGCGCGGCGGCAGGCCTGCCGGCGACGAGCCGGGGCCGCGCTCGCCATCGACGACGGGCCCGCGCTGTGGGAGAGAGGCCGGCGCCCTGCCCCCTCCCTCCACCTCTTACCTCCTCTCCTCCCCCAAACCCCGCTCCTCTTCCCCCCTCCTCTCCTCCCCCTCCCCCTCCCCCTCGCCCCTCATCTCCTCTCTTCCTCCCCGTGGGACAGAGGCCTACGCCCGCCCCCATCCGTCCTCCTCTGCCTGCCTCCTCTCCTCCCTTATAGCCTACTCCGAGTTTCCTAGTGAGCGTCGGGGGGGCGTCCCCCCCCCCCGACAGCCCCACATCGACCCCAGTCGCGGGCAGCCACCGCGCGCCGAAGGCGCTCCGACCCTCGTCGCGGTGCGACGACGAGGCGAGGTTGACCCCCGTCAGGGGGGTACCCCCCCAAGCTTATCAAGAGACCTAAAGTAATCAGAGACTTCCTAGATGGGGTCGGAGTAGATGGAGTCGGAGGTTCTCGCCGCATCGCCGACACATCGGCGATGCACTGGCGACGTCGGCAATGCATCGGCGACGTCGGCGTGGGAAAAACCGGGCCCCACATCGAGCCGCATCGCCAATGCATCGCCGATGCATCGGCGATGCGGTGCGATCCCCCGACCCTATACACTCCGACGCCATCTAGGAGGCCTAGGCTCAGTCTTTCCCCCTTCGTTCTCGTTCCCTCGCCTGGCCGCGCGGCCTGCTCGGAGCCAGCGCATCGGCGCGCGCCAGGCAACACTGCGACTGCGCCTCGAGCGGGCCCGCTCGGAGGTCGCGGCGCCGAGCTCTGCTATAGCGCGTCGGGCGAGGCCGCCGGTTTGGGAGGCCTGCGTCCCCGCCGCCGGGCGACCGGCCTTGGCGTTAAGTCGGGCGTGTCCCTTACAGGGTGATTTTCGACACAAAATAAAACAATACCCCCAACTTATCCCAGTGCGGCCCTACCTAGGAGTTGGAGCCCCTAGGAAAGCAGCATTAGTAGTAACAGTGAAGCTAAGCTAAAGCTAAGCTAAAGCTAAGCTAACGTTAAGCAACAGCTAAGCGAAAGCTAAGCTAACGCGAAGGTACAGCTAAGGTACATCTAAGCTAAAGCTGAGGTAAAGCTAAGGTAAAGCTAAGCTAAAGCTACGCAAATGCTAAGCTGAAGCTAAGCTGAAGCGAAGCTAACGCTAAGCTAACGTTAAACTACAGCTGAGCTAAATATAAAGCTAAGCTAAGCTAAAGCTAAGCTAAAGCTGAGCTGACGCTAAGCTGCAGCTAATTTGAAACTACGCAAAAGCTAAGCTAACGTTAAGCTAAAGCTAAGCTAAAGCTCAGCTAAAGCTAAGCTAAAGCTAAGCTAAAGCTAAAGCTAAGCTACATCTAAGCTAAATATGCGCTAAAGCTAAGCTAAAGCTAAGCTAAAGCTAAGCTAAAGCTAAGCTAAAGCTAAGCTAAATCTAAGCTAAAGCTAACCTAACGCTAAGCTAAAGCGAAAGCTAAGCTAAGCTAAAGCTAAGCTGAAGCTAAGCTGAAGCTGATATGAAGCTAAGCTGAAGCTAAACTAAAGCTAACCTAACGCTAAGCAAACGCTAAGCGAAAGCTAAGCTAAATATAAGGTTCAGCTAAGGTATCTCTAAGCTAAAGCTGAGGTACAGCTAAGGTAAAGCAACGCTAAAGCTGAGCTAAAGCTAAGCTGAAACTAAACTAAAGCTAAGCTAACGCTACGCTGAAGCTAAGCTAAAGCTAAGCTAAAGCTTAACTAAAGCTACGTTAAAGCTAAGCTAAAGCTAAGCTAAAGCTAAGCTACAGCTAAAGCTAAAGCTAAAGCTGAAGCTAAAGCCCCCAGGGGACTGGGGAAACCGCGGGGCGGATTCTGGGGGAACCGCCCGGGGCGAGCCCCACTGCCCGGCCCTTTAAGCCTCCGAGTAAGAATCCTTCTAGGCAGAACCTAGGTAGTGAAATACTCCAACATGGGAAAAAACAAAACTCAAAAAATGTTCCCCATACTATGTTTTGACTATTTGGGAATATTCCCCCTGCAGGGGGACAGGCCCGACTGAACCTTTGCGCCAAACTGTCGGGAGGCTCGCGAATCACTTCGCGCTCTCGCGCCGCCTCCCACGGGAGAAGAGGAGGATGAGGAGGAATCGGGAGCCGAACCGCGCAGCGCGAAGCGCGAAGAACTTCGCGCCCTCGAAGGGCGCCCCTGTCCGCGCCAAAACCGTCGGGGGGCCTGCGAATCCGCCTGCCCGGGCGGACC